ACAAACCTTTTTCCGTGGGTAATATAAACTAGCTTCTTATATATTTTAGCTCCTACTTGTACCGATAATACCCAGAATGGAAAAGAAACTGACAAAGACTGCGGTGGTGGAGACTGTCCACAATGTGCAAATACATTACACTGCCTAGTAGATAATGACTGTATGAGTAATTTTTGCAAAGACAATATATGTCAAGGTATGCCAATCCAGAGTGATATAAAATACCTAATCATTTAGTTTAGCTCCCACTTGCAGCGATGGTGTTCAGAATGGAAAAGAAACTGACCAAGACTGTGGTGGTGAAGAATGTGCACGATGTGCAGCTACATTGCACTGCCTGATAGATAATGACTGTATCAGTAACGTTTGCAAAGCAAATATGTGTCAAGGTATCCCACTTAACAGTAATATCAAATAATACATCGTCTCTTTTAGCTCCTATTTGCAACGATAATACCAAGAATGGAAATGAAACTGACAAAGACTGTGGCGGTGGATTGTGTCCAAAATGTGCCGATAATTTACAGTGCCAACAAAATAATGACTGTATAAGCGATGTTTGCCAACAGGATACTTGTCAAGGTATGTCAGTTAAGAGTAATATGAAATAATACATTGTTTCGTACAGCTCCTACTTGCACCGATAATACCCAGAATGGAAATGAAACTGACAAAGATTGTGGTGGTGGATTGTGTCCAAAATGCGCAGATAATTTAGGGTGCCAACAAAATAATGATTGTATAAGCGATATTTGCCAACAGGATATTTGTCAAGGTATGCCAATTGAGAGTCATATTAAATAATACATCATCTCTTTTAGTTCCTACTTGTACCGATAGTACGAAGAATGGAAATGAAACTGACAAAGATTGTGGTGGTGGATTGTGTCCAAAATGCACCGATAATTTAGGGTGCCAACAAAATAATGACTGTATAAGCGATGTTTGCCAACAGGATATTTGTCAAGGTATGCCAATTACGGGTAATATTAAATAAGACATGATCTTTTTTAGTTCCTACTTGTACCGATAACACCAAGAATGCAAATGAAACTGACAAAGATTGCGGCGGTGGATTGTGTCCAAAATGCATAGATAATTTAGGGTGCCAACAAAATAATGACTGCATAAGCGATGTTTGCCAACAGGATATTTGTCAAGGTATGCCAATTAACAGTAATATTAAATAAGACATGATGTTTTATAGTTCCTACTTGCACCGATAATACCAAGAATGCAAATGAAACTGACAGAGACTGTGGTGGTGGATTGTGTCCAAAATGCATAGATAATTTAGGATGCCAACAAAATAATGACTGTATAAGCGATGTTTGCCAACAGGATATTTGTCAAGGTATACCAATTAAGAGTAATATTAAATTATAAAGCATCTCTTTTAGTTCCTACTTGTACTGATAATACCAAGAATGCAAATGAAACTGACAAAGATTGTGGTGGTGGATTGTGTCCAAAATGCGCGGATAGTTTAGGGTGCCAACAAAATAATGACTG